GAAGACGAAGACGAAGAAGAAGAAGAAGAAGAAGAAGAAGAAGAAGAAGAAGAAGAAGACGACGACGAAGACGACGAAGAGTAACACAAAAAGTTGACTGTTCAGGGTCTGGGGGTTCTACCCTTGGCCTGGCCTGCCACACAAGCCCGGTCCCTAGGGCATGCTAAGACAGGATTGAGACTGGGCGTGGTGGTGCATGCCTGTAATCCCAGCTCTTGGGAGGCTGAAAACAGGAGGATCACTACAAGTCTGATCTGTGTGGTAAGACCTTGTACTAAACTGAAAAAAAAAAAAAAAGTTGATTATTGCAGTCCAGGAACAAGAAGTCCTGACCACACAGTCCTCTACAGTCCTCTGTAGCTAATGGGAAAGGTGTAAAACTTAGCCATGGTAACAAAGTCATAAATATGATTTCAATAGAAATATCATTTCAATACCAAGTGTGGAGGCGGGGGGATGGCTCAGTAGGATAAGCGCTTGCCTGGCAAACATAAGGGTCTGAGTTCAATCCCCAGTTCTGCAAAAAACAAACAAACAAACAAACAAACAAACAAACAAACAACCCAAAAAAACCCCACCAAGTGTGGTGGGCACTTTGATACCAGTACTTGGGAAGCTGGAGCTGGGGCAGGAGGATTGCCACGAATACAAGGCCAATCTCGGATAGAGTTCAAGTCCAGCCTGAACTGCACAGTGAGACCCTGTCTGTCTACTTCTTTCTTTCACACACACAGATACACCCAAAAAATGAGGAAAGAAGATGAATTTAAAACTTTGACAGTTGGTTATGCTGGCATGTGCCTGTAATCCCAGCACCCAAACAGCTGAGGCAGGCTTGACAAGTGCAAGATCCTGAGTTCAATCCCCAGTACTGAAGAAAAAAAAAAAAAAAAGAAAAGAAAAGAAAAGAAAAAAAGGAATAATAGTTGAGGCAGGAAAATGGCCATGATGAGACCTGTGTCAAGAAACCAAAAGTAAAATAAGATTAAACTTCCTTTGTCAAGCAGAGAGTATCAGTTATATCACTCCAAGTGTGGCCCAGAAATTACCTATGGTACATCAGAACTACTGGGGCTTAGCTGGACATGATGGTGCCCACCTGTAATGCCAGAACTTGGGAGGCTGAGGTGGAAGAATCAGTATAAATAAAGGCTCATCTGAGGGGCCTTAACATAGTGAGGTTAAGATCAGCCTAAACTACATAGTGAGACCATGTCTCAAAAAGCAAACTCTCAAATTACAAGGACTTGTTAAAACTCTTGGGATCAAATGTAATCATTAGTGTAAACATGTATCAATAAAGACAAAACCAATAAAAATCCCTGGAACTTATCTCAGACTTCCCTGGTCTTACTGCAATTCTGGCCCAATGGGGAAAAGAGCCCCATTTTATAGTCAGTTGCTAACCCACTATGTTGCCAGGAAAAACAAGGAAGAGACAAGAATAAGCCCTGTGGCAGAGGCTAGGGGACCTTTCTTGTGTCCCTCCATGCCCAGGCACTACAGGGAGAAGCCTGGGTCAGGGCCTGTGCTGTGTGAGAAGCAGCCACAGCTTACACACTAACTGCACAGGGCACTGCTCCCATGCATGACCTCACTTTATTTTCCTGCAAACTGACAAGCGAAGGAAAGGCACTACGACCTGTACAGCACAGAGGAAGAGACTGGCTCCTTGAAGGAAAGGAACACTGCCAGCGTGAGGGGAGATGTGAACTAGATATCAGGGATTCCAAACTCTAGCCCTGTGCTCCTTCCTCCATACTAGACAGGTTCTCAAAAGACAAAGGAGAAACCCCAGGAACATATGTTAAACATCAAAGAGAATTTTCTGGATGAAATGGAGAAGAATCACCCCTTCTGGTCCAATATAAACTCAATGAACAGTTAGCCCCTCCATCCTTGTCCTACTTTGGAAGCAAGCTTTCTGGGATAGGTAACAAGCCCCCCACTGGCAGAGCAGTTTCTTAAAAGACAATCCTCTAAATGGACAGCTGGGATTTAAACCTACACAGGCCAGATCCAGAACCCTTCCTCTTAGTCAAGGCCAGATTCTTTTTTGGAGATCAACACGGTTAAACACAGAAGGCTGAGGATGTGGCATAATGGTAGAATGCTTGTCTGAAATGCAAGAGGCCCTGGGTCCTTTGACCTCTAGAAACACATATGCACACGCACACACAGCACAGATATAAAATTAGATAAACACAGGCAAATGCAGGTATTGATACAAATGGCTATAAATACACAGTAGAAGATACATCTCTCCTGAAAATTCTACAGCTGGGTATGCAGGAGGATCGCAACCTCAAGTCTAGCTTGGACAACTTAGAGACACTGCCACAAAAATAAAAAATTTTAAAAAAAGGCTGAGAATGTAGCTCAGTGTAATTGTCCTGGCTTAAATACTCAACACCTCAAAAACAAACAGAAAATGAAAGAACAAAAATAACCCAATAGTACAGGAAAAGTGAAAAAGAGAAGTTTGAAAGAGCTGTATGTTCTTTTTTTCCTTTGGCAGAATGGGGGATTGAAGTTGGGAACTTGTACTTGCCAGGCAGGCACTTATGCCACTGAGCTATCTCCCCAGCCCCAAAAGAACTGTATTTTCATATTCATAGTACCTTGGGTTTCTTTTTATTGTTGTTGTCGTTTTGCAGACATGTTGTCACTAGTCAGTTCAGGCTGACCTTAAACACACTATGTAGCCAAAGCTGTCCTTGAACTCACAGTGGTCCTCCTGCCTTGGCCTCCCTGAGTGCTGGGATTAGATATGTACCACCAAACCTGGCTCAATAGTATCTTCTTTAGAGTGTCTCTATAATGCATTTTTTATTTTTTTTCTTTGTATTTTTTTAGTATAGGGTGTACAGGGTCTCACTAGGTAGATCAGACTCGTAGTGATCCACCTGTGTTCAGCCTCCCAAGAGCTGGGATTACAGGCATGTGCCAGCACAATCACCGTCTCGGGGCACCTTCAGGGCATCCCCTGGGGATTGAACCCCAGCTACTGCGTCTGCCTAAGCAGGTGCTGTAATCTGCTTAACTATTTGCCCTGCCCTGTTTGTTTTTGCATTTTGTGCAGGGTCTCACTATGCAGCTTGGACTCCTGTGATCCTTCTGGTTTCAAGCCTCCCAGCATTGAGATTCCAGGCATGTGCCATCACTCCCAGACTTGGTCATGGTTCACTGAGCCCAGGGGAGGGGAGGGGTTGGCGAAGCATGTGGTGCCAGGGATCAAACCCCAGTTCCCGCACTTGCCTGAGCAGGTACTTAGTTGGCTGAGCTATCTTGTCGGCCCTACTATAATACATTTTAATATATCCTGTGATAGCACCTGATATTTAGGCCATTTTCATTCTTAATAACCATGTTTGGTACTGCTGTATTAAAATGGATCATTTAATTATGAGGAAGTATGCCTTGCCAGCCCTACCCCTGGGGCATGCTGAGATGGCCAATGAGACTGGGCATGGTGGTACACTCCTGTAATCCTATCACTTGGGAGGCTGAAAACAGGAGGATCACTATGAGTCTGATCTGGGTAGTGAGACCCTGTACTAAATACATTAAAAAAAAAAAAAAAGGAAAATTGCATTCATTCACTCATTCATTTGTAGGCAGATTCTCACTATATAGTTTAGACTGGTTTTGAACTCACTATGTAGCCGAGGCTGGCCTCAAAACTCACAGCAATACTCCTGCCTCAGTCTCCCAAGTGCTGATGTTACAAGTGTGCACCACCATATCCAGTATTCTGTTGTTTATTTAAAAAACAAAACCAGCTGGTCACAGTGGCATATGTTACAATCCTAGCACTCTGGGAAGCTGAGACAACAAGATCACAAATTCAACCCCAACTCTGGCAACTCAGTGCAATCTTGTTTCAAAACTAAATTAACAAGTACCCACAAATCAAAAGTCAAATCCCCAAATTATATATTTATATACACACAGATTGGTATGTAGAGTCCCAAAGTGAAAAATAAAACTTTTGGTACAGCACTGAGGCAAGCAAGTGTGTGTGCTCCCTCAGCTGGTAGCCTCGGCCTCAGGGCCTTAAGAGAATACTGACCTCAGTGGATTCCTCTTGCTCATTGATGACGAGAAAGGCATCTTCTGCAGCCTGTCGTTTGACATCTGCTATGGTTTGCTCCATTCGAGCTCTCTCCGTTGCAATCACTTCAAAAGCTTTTTGCTCAGCTTCAGCAACAGCCTTCTGTACTTCGGACATGGCCTGAATTTTCACCTTATTCACAGCTTCTTCTAGAAGAAAGTGACAATAAAATCAACTGGTCAAGAAATCTTTCCCTCCCAACCCACAGTATTTGTAAGAAGAGTAAAAATGAGTTCTGTGGGTGTGAACATGTTACATGCAAGTACACTTATTCTCACAGTTGTGCTATTAATTTGTGCAGTCATGTGTTAGGCAGGGTGAGAATCTTCCCAATTAACTGCTAGATTCAAAGATCTTCTGGAGATTCTCAGGATCATTGCCTTGCCCATCCTCTACATATAACTGTATGGCTTGTCACTGTCATGTTTCCTAGCTCTTCTCCTTTCCCTCTCTTAGTTAGTCCTCGAGATCCTGCTTTCCTTTTACTTGTATTATACCTTTCTATTTGTATTTCTTCTTTTGAGTTCTTATACTAGGGGAAGTATACGATATTTACACATGTAAAAATATGGAACGCTTCACGAATTTGTGTGTCATCCTTGCGCAGGGGCCATGCTAATCTTCTCTGTATCGTTCCAATTTTAGTATATGTGCTGCCAAAGCGAGCACAGTTATGTGTTAGGGATGAAGGCCAAGGTGGGTACTATGCTAGGGCTGGGGATACATAGGTAACTACACATCATCCACCATCCTCTGTTTGTAGTCAAATAATAATGCTGGCTTAGGTAGTATTGAACATGTCATTGTAAGAGGCCAGCACTCCACAAAAAAAAAGAGGGGTCTTAGAATTTCATAGAGAAAAATGGTCAAATCTACAAGGACAGGTAAAGGTTAAAGCAATATGTTGTGGTGGAAATGATAGGTAAAAATTAAGTATTTAAACAAGTCCTGCAGAGTTTACTTGGTCCTATTAGCTAAAGGAAATGTAAAGCCCCTAAAGCTGTGGTGTTAATCTATGACATGTGCACAGCAAAGAAACTTGGGCTCAAGATACAGGTTTTGGCAAATGGCTGGGAACCCTGGGCTTCTGCTCTGGCCAGTCACCATCATTCTGCTTGGTTTCTGATCACTTCCTTCCCATTCTACCACATCGCTCAGTTTCCATTCAGTGAACACTGCCAATGACATGCTCTATGACTTGAGCCTCAGCCCAGTGAAAATGTGAACAACCTCCCACAAGTCCACAAGAGGACCTAACCCAGATGGGTAAGGAACTCCATTATAGCTTGGCTGTTGTACACAACTCAGATTTAAAGGAGGCTGAAGCAATATTCTAGGCTATTGTGCTAGAAACTTCCATCTTAGGATCTTAAGAAAGTCTTCACTCCACAAGCCAAAGACTCCAGGATTCCTTTACTCAGAGTGTCCACACAGGTCTACTTGGCCCACTCCAGTTACCCTCCTAGGCATCTTACTAGATATGAGATAGGTGTGAAAAGCTACTTACTGAGCCCACAGAACCATTCTCTCTGACATATTTTATCTTTACAGCTTAATGACGAAACATTAAGAAATCAATTTGGGTATCTGTCTTCCTGAAGGCCATCTAAGGCAACAGTAGCACTGTAGCACAGCAAGGATTCAGATCTCTCTCACTCAGTACCAAAGTTGGACTCTATTCTTCCCAAGTAATCTAAGCCACTAATTTGAAGGAGATCATGTACATGATGATAAATCTTTCTCTCTACCTTATGATTATCTTCATATCCCACAATTCTAGCCCATTTATATATTTATTTATATTTAGTAGAGGGTCTACAGGGTCACACTACACAAATCAGACTCACAGTGATCCTATTTTCAGCCTCCCAAGTGCTGGGATTACAGGCGCATGCCACCACACCCAGTCTCTGTTGCTGTCTAAGCATGCCCAATCCTGGCTGCTGCACTCTGCTTAAGCAGGCACGGTAATCCGCTGAGCTATCTGGCTGGCCTCTTGCCCATTTATGATCAATATAATTTGCATTTTATTATTTCCAATTACATAGTTTTGCAAATTGCTTTACATGGTGAAATATTTTTTTTGTTTTATTTTTTGTGGTATCAAACTATAACATAAAGGGCTGGCCAAACAGCTCAGCTATTAAAGCCACCTACTTAGGCAGACCAGGGGCTGGCCTGCCATTCCAGCCCCACGCCTAGGGTGCACTGAGACAGAGTGTGGTGGCGCATGCCTGTAATCCCAGCACTTGGGAGGCTGTGAACAGGTGGATCACTATGAGTCCAATCTATGCAGTGAAACCCTGTACATCCTGTTCTAAATACAAAAACAAAACAAAACAAAAAACCCTCTAACATAAACTACGTATAGGTGTTTGGGCATTTTCCAGGTTGCTTCTCCCTTACCATAAGAATATACAAAATAATAATGTACATAATAATATACTAAAAACAGTGTGTTTCTAAAAAAACCCAACAGTATCTTTCTGTGATGAAGGGGATGGTGCTGAAAGATTTGTCTTAGTGGGCTGGTGAGATGGCTCGGTGGTCTAAAGCACCTACTTGGAACAAGCTTAGCAAAGCACAGGGACCGCGGTTCAATCCCCCAGCACCACATGCCAGCCAGCCCCGTCCCCTGGTGGGCTGAGCTGGCCACACACACACACACACATACACACACACACTCTAAATAAATGTAAAAAAATTTAAAAAAATGAAAGGCCTGGGGGGTGGGGGAGAATACTTTATCTTACAAGAAGGAAAAGAAAGCCAGTATTTAGATAAGGGTAATATTAATGATCTGAGGCTCGTTTTATCCTTTATTGGAGTTGGCAGTCCTTACCCACCTTTATTCTGGTAAAGGTCTACGGCATGATCTTTTTTTAAATGGGGGGGTTGAGTGGGAAAGGCAGAGGGATAGAGTAGTGCCAAATGCAGAATGAAGTAGATGTAGTGACAGTGTGTGGAGAGATTGGACAGAAATGAATTTTGTTTGGCGGGGGT